TTAAAGGTTTGATAGTTTTATTAGAATCACGTTCTTTATAAGTTTCCTCATTTTTGTCTAATCCAACACATGACAGCTGGTGGAAATCCCTTTCGATTTTAGATAGGTAAATTCTTCATGTGTATTTCATATGAAAAACACTTGCAAACTGATACTTAACATTTTCTTTTCTTACTAACCCAAACTTTTTCCTTCTCAATTACAAAGATTGAAGTAACTTGATCAAACTTCCATTGCTTTTGTCACTGTCTTTCTCTTTACATATTTGTTGTAGGCTACAAAATACTCTTTTTTAATAACAGGCTCTTTCTTTTAGTCAGTGAGCAAGCAAGGGCAGACAGTTGACAGTTTTTGAATGGAATTGTTTGATAACAAGTGTTCACTGTTCACCGAAATTAATAGTATTGCAAATATTTTTCATGATACACACAGTCGTAGCTGGGTCTAATTCTTGAGAAGTATAGTTTAGTATTTATGATCAATATACTTACTACAGCTTGTAAATAATGCGTATAATTGATTTAACTAATAGATAACCTATTCAATTTTAAGAAGTATAATTGCAGTAATCAAATAAACTCAGTTTCTCATTTTATCCTTGCTTAACTCTTTAAAACATAAGTTTCAGGAACTGGTTTAATAAATTGATAATCTGTGGTGTACACATAACCTTAATGACGGGGGTTAACTTACATTATAGTAATAACACTGTAAAATTACTATCTACATATTTTACATAACGCAAACCATATCATTTCGCTATAAAGCTTAGATTATTTTCTTAAGTTTTAAAATGCCTTCATATTTAAATATATATATTTATATGCGGTTTTATAACAGTGGACTTCTAGTAAAATTTTATTCTCAGAGAAATTTTAAAGTCTAGAACGGAGACTTCCTGTGATAAAAATCTAGCTACCGGGACTGTTGAACTTGCACTCTGTAAATCTCCGTTCTCGACTGTCGAGGTGAACGAAATTTGTTTCAAGTTATCACATTCTAAGACGCTAAAGAAATCAAACTGGAAACATTATTTAAAAGAATCACCGACGAGAAGAGTAGGAAAACATTAGTTAACAATACACAAAACACTCAACACACAACCGAGCGTTCCAATAAAGATAAACTTTATCCTACGAGAGTAACAAGCATAAAGCATATCACAATCAACCGATAATAGATTGAATTTTAAAAATAGTCACTATGTATATAATAGATATATTAACAAGTACTCGATAAGTCTAAATATTTATAGTAGTCTAAGTACAAGAGTCTACTCGACATAGTATATAGCTATTATTATTTAAAGTTGTATATTATCGTAGCTTAAGAGTGCTATAACGGTAGAGAACGACTAAGCAAAAAGCCTTGGTCATCGTGGGCCTGTGATGCAATTGAGCAAGTGGAGGGGGTAAACTAACGTGGTAAACGTAATCTCTACGTTTAGGAATCAAAGTCAATTCAATGCTAGAGGGCTTTGTGGCAAAATCAAACACTAAAAAGAAACTTTTGTACATCAGCTATGATCTACACGTCATAGTAACATTTACAAAACCCTATTGCTTGGATGTCTACTCGTAACTAACTACGGGGTATTTGGTCACGTTTTCGTTTAGTGTGGCAAAGTGAATTAAAATGTATAAGAAACAAATGGGTCAAAAGATATTGATTTTTTCAAAACTTTATCCTGAGTATACACCGATTGTTTTTTTCTGCAGAAATTTAAGCCCGTCTCAAATTTGGAATAGATTTTGAAAGGAAAGAACTTATATGAAACAAGTGTGCACACTAACTTGAAAATCAATACTAAGGTCGTCAACCGTATAGTAAACATATCAAATGAAACAAATAAATAAAACCACATTGATAACAAATCAAACCTGAATGTACCGTAAAATAAAAATGCTAATAAAAATTGATTTTTTAATTAAACTCTCATTTCTCTCTAATTGTCATAGTTTTAACAAGACTACAAAATATTACTAGAAATTATATATTTTTTACTTTTATACATTTTAAAACCAGAAAATCAAACTACTCCAATACTATTCAATATTGATATTTACAAACTCAAACCTTCCTACAAATTTTACTCTCAATAACAATTAATTGGTCAAAATTATATTGCTAATCGAGCTATTACTTTCATGAGTTAATTGTACAGATCCTCTCTAATTTAAAAGACTTATATCAGAAAGCAATGAAATATGAAAATTCTAGTTCAAATCATTGAGTTTTGTTTGGTTTATGCGTTATCTTTTACGTTATGATTTACCGGTCCTAAAATTTTTTTTTCAAAACTGTAAGTAATAACTCCAACAAAATATTTTTTTTAATTATTATTACTACTATATTAAAATTTATTGGCAGTAAAATGTAAAGTTTAAAACATGTTGAATGCAAATCATAGTGGAAAGTTGGAAATCATAAATGTTTAAGATCCTTTCTGTTATTTTTGGCTTTTCTATTATCCAATCCAATAATATTTTTAATAGTTTGTAAATTTCTTTGTCTGCAGTAAATTATGATTTGTACTTAAATTTGAATGGTGACAGAAGCTATTTAAAGCAGACCACACACGCTCCGGTATACCCTAAGGCCGGCCGGCCGGAAGGTGCCCGGCCTGCAGGCAAACCCAGAAATAATTCTTACATTTTTGTACTCAACATGAATGAAAAGAACCCTAGAGAAAACGTTGATAACCCATAGTCAATAGTCAATAACAAACATAATGGTTAAGGATTTTCTTTTGGAAAGGCGTAGTGTTCTGCTAGTTTAGCTGAGAAAATTTAATCAATTCGGTGGCATAAATACACAAAAATACACAAAACGATAACGTTAGGTAATATTTCATCCCAGTATACAATTCAATTTTTGTGTGGTCTAGAATCACTTAAACATACAAATAAGAGGTTTATTTATTATTAATTTGTATATCTTGTTTAAATGTTCGTGTATGCGTGGTAAATGTTTTGATAACCTAAACATGAGTGAAGATTGATCTTCGTGACAAGGATTCGAACAAGGCGACACATTCACCGAAACGATCTCCATCCACCCTTAAAGGAGGTGTCGTGGATCACTAGACGGAATCAAGGTAAATAGGCCTCTTCTTTACCAGTACAGTATAAACATTCTTCAAAGTAGATTCATGTATCTACTCCTATACGGTACTCATCGAATCTACTGGTTAAGACCTTCTTCTAGGACAAAATATCAAAGTCAATATTACATTTTTTAATGTGTGTCTATATTTTAAGACCCTGGACTGCAATTTTATCTGCAACGCTAGCTGAACAACTCCCATTACCAAACAAAATCAATTTAAAATAAAGCCACTTTTCTTCCAACGGCTAAAAACTTCACGATACGCAAGTTTTTTTAAGCTAGGTGTAACCCCTTGAAAATACTTTACGCTCACTGGTCTGCAATTCCGTGGCAAAGATGAACAAAGCTTTTTATTTCCTTTTGAATCACTATCTTATACTATAGTTTTAAAAAATCGTAACAACAGATCTAAGACTATAAGTCGTCAGCAGAGTTAACATTAAGGTAGAAAGACTGACATGCAGTAAAAAACCATAGACCATAAGGTTAGGCTTGATCTAAGTATATAAACACGTTGTACCACTGGAGTCTATATTGGGAAAACTCGTAAGTTAAAACATGCTGAGAAGAGATGTATCGTGTTATTCTTTTAAATAATCAAATGAAGATGATATGTAAGGTTTGGGCATGGAAGACTTACAATGCCTACTTTTGGTCCAGCTCCGGGTTTTTGTGTGAACACAAGTAGACTATAACGATTTATGATAATTGAACCCTCAAATTTATTTTATAAATGATTTATAAAAAAATCATCCATCTTTTCATAAACTTAGGTGTTTATAGTATACAATCACACCACAACTATCATCTCATTGTCCTTAGGCCCCACAGTTATTGAAACATTGCTAAATTTTATACACACATTTTTATTCTTGTCTAGAAAATGAATAAATAAATAAATTTTATCTCTTCGTGTTTAGAGAATTAAAAAAGCCTACAAATTAAGTTGAAAACACAAAGTAGCCTGCAGTGTTTTGTTTGAAAACTAACTGTAGAAAAGTTTTGATAAACCATTTAGAATTTATGTGTCATACTTATAAAATTCAGTTTTTTTTTTTCTGAATTAAACTTTAAACACAACAATTTTCTTTAATTTATTGAATTTCGCTCAAACCACCTAAGTTTTGTGCAATAAAAAAAAGTTCCAATATAAAATGGTAAGGTTCAAGGATCATTACAATTTTGATCCAAAAGAAGACATTGTAGTGAAATTGCTATTGCGATGAATGAATGAATGAAAAGTGAAGAAATACTGCAAACTCCATATACAGATGGCAATCTTGTTCAATCACTTTTCTCTGAATCAAACAAGAGTTTGTGTTCTAAATGACCTTTAAACTCACTCATATATATATATAGTTTTCAATCAATTTAGTTGTAAAACTGCTCTCTGCACATAGAGTGTACAGTAATCTAGTATATACAGTGCCAAGTGCAGGGTAGGGCGATGCGTTGATCCGACATTTTGTAGCTCGCAAAAATAAAAAATCTTAAATAAACTAAATTTATATTATGCGTAGCCCTGACGTTTTTGTAATGTATGTCAGTGACTTTCAATACAGGAAACACAAATACTTTCCAGGGAAAGTAGTCCATACCCTTCAAAATTTTATGAATTTGCTGGGAATTGGTTCTATAAATAATGAAAAAGTTGACATTTTATCGCCCACAAATGTGATTAGTTCAGTCTAAAAGTGTCAGAGTCTTTAACAAAAGAGTAAAACAAGATTTGCTGATTTTAAGAGTAACTGCGACTTTTTGTTTGTGCGTTTGTATGCAGTGCAACTACCACGGGCCAAGTACTGTTCTATTTAAATGCATAATCTCTCATTCTTCCATCACAGCAACCAGTTTGTCATATTTGTGGGGGGGGGGAGGGTTGCCAGAGCTTGCAATGTCGGAACAACGCTTTCCCATCGCAGGGCCAGCAAAGCTGGTCTATCACAAATGTGTGGCCGAAACTATTACTAAAAGCAGAATAAAACATACACAGACCTCGGATAATAATATTAATTCTAGGCACTTTTAGCATTTATGAATTAAGCCGGTTTAGAAAGCTCGCACAAAATGCGTTACATCTCACCAGATGAAATACTGCTGAGGCTTTAGTTTTTGATAAAATTACACGTTAACATTTGAACTCAGGCGTTAAATTTGGAACTCGACGTAAACGGTACAGTATTAGTTATGTATAGCCTAATTGGGATTTAGTTAAGTCCATAATAGATTTTAATTATGAATAAGAATGATTTTACTAAGGTAATTTTGTGATGTACGGTAACCTTAAATTTTTTTCATTGTTTAGCAAGTGATTAACACTTATTATACATTACAATTTGCATACTGTATACAAATACATTTCACTGAGTAAATTTAATGAGATACCTACCATTATAATTAATTAAGAAATAATCATAATACTAATACAGTATATTTCAACTTATTGTTGAATGCATTTCTTAAACAAACGCATATGGTACATTTACAGAGAAACCCCGATTGACAAAATAATTTTACACTTTAATGATACAAAATAATATACCAATGGGAAACACCACTCCAGTACATTTTGTGTGAGCTATTTTGGCTTTTATTTATCGGCTTCTATCTAACCACAACAATTTGGACACCTAAAGTTGGTTAACACTAAAAACAAAAGCCATTGAAACAATAACACATTTTGTGCATGGATGTCACATTAAACTATAACAACACTCAACCAAGAGCACCAACGAAGTATAAGACACAGTCAACCTTTCCAGTAATTTTTTAACCAACAGCCACTCCTATCTACTTAAAATTAAATACTTCAAAACAAACTTCCTGAGGAAATAATTTTCCAAAGGGTGTTACATCGCAAAAATGGAATAATTTGGCGAGAATATTGGTAACTATTTTAATCCCATGTGGCTGACAAATTAGTATTTTCATTCTCAATTACTACAAGTCAAGTTTGGTATGTGTTTGTTGGATTAGCTTTAAGTTGCTGTAATTTGAAAAGAAACAAGAGGAGAATTCCTATTAAATGTTATAATTTGATGAAAAATGTATGTGTTTTCTCATCGACCTTAAATTAGACAGTGAGAGAAATAAAACGACACAAAAATATACTCTTGCTTGTAAACCATTTGAGAATTATAGAAATAAGGTAAAAGGTTAAATTTTACAAAAAATACTCCAACCCGATTCTGAACCCGCTTGACTGTGTCTTCTACCCACCAGAACAAATATTCGATCGGTAACACTTACAAATAGTAATTGTCGCAGTATAAAATACCTATCCTATAACACCTACGATCTAAGCTATTCCGCAAATAAAAAAACGTCCACTTTGACAAACCGGCCGCTGAATATTGTCCGGTAAATGGATTCAAGCGAACGTTCGGCCGGAGATTCGAAACAAAATATTATTGCTTATGCCTTGGCGACAAGTCCCGCTATACACTTAACTAGATCACTCTATATGTAAAAATAAACAAAGCAATATTAACAGTTTAACAACATTGATATGGAAGTACACAGTAGCAGCGATATCCTCTGAGATCACAGCCTACAAGTAGCCTTTCTCGAGTATTGCTGTAGGCGAATACTGATCCAAGGATGCAGAGAAGCTGGACCGGTCTGGAGCTGCAAGTGAGTGCCTTTCTCTAGGACGCTTTACCACAAAACTGAGAACTTGCTACTGAACAGTGAATATTTTTGTCAAAGTTTTTAGAGATGACGACAAGATCACAGACTGTTTTCTGTGCCAAAACAGTGCATATTGCATTGTCTTGTATCTTGACGTTTTCTCCCACGGACAATTCAGAAGATTTTAACTGTGCAGCAGCAAACCTCCAGTGAAAATGATTAGTTTGTTTGAAACATTAATGTTAACTTAGTTCAACTGCATTAACAAGTAAAGTTAAAAACAATACTCTTAACAATAATCAATGATAAAATCCTTTTTTCCAATGTCAAACTTAACACACTACCCTACAAAATCACTTGACTTAGCTCAAGACCCCAAGATACTTGGTGTATTATACACTGTTAACGTAGGTATTGTCGATGCTTATACAAATTAACTGTTCATATCGAGGAGCGATTGATCTTCATAGTCTGAGTGTTTAGGATCGGCAAGAAATAAGAGAGAAGTTTCTTTTCATAGTGATCACAAGTTGAGCTTAGAAATTCAAAATAAAAAAAGTACCGTGCTGTATTCAGTTTTTACAATAATCAAGACGTTTGAAGCTCTGAAAAATATTTTTTAGACATTTAAAAAAGAGTAAACAAGGAATTGATTTAGTTGAGTGAAGACAACAATTTTGTTTTCTTAATCGAATAAAGGGACATAATTGCTCAGGCGAGAGAATTACCCTTGCCAATCCAAAACCCGGTGAAGTTACACCATCTGGCGTTAGACCTTACGTTATAACACTGTACAGAATTTACAAAACAGCTAGTTCTAGTAAACGTATGCAATTACACTAAAAACAAACTTAGAAAAATGTTAACAAATGCATTTAGGCTCTTATTTTAGACCACATGGTTAACAACTTTTACTTGAATGTTAGGAAAGGTACTGTTTACGAGACACAAACCAAGCTACAATGCAATTATAAAATTAGTTTTGCAATGTTCTTTTTTCTGAAAATTTAAGACAAATTGTTAACGGATCTGTTTAGTTGATCTTCATTAGGATTTTAAAATCTACGTACTGGTACTAAAAAAATATATGTTAAAAATTACTTGGTGCTGCAATTCATGCAAAAATTTTGTTTTTTATTAATTTACTTTTAAATGTCAAATGTTTTTGGAGGGACGTCTTCAGAGGTGCCAAATCTGTCTAAGAGGTTTAACAGCATCAGGTTTTTCATGAAAATATATCTGGTTTATTCAATTTCTCAGATATTGAATACCTGGAAGGATGAGTTAGATTTAAAAGCTGAACTGAATAGCTTAGGATTTATACTTTCAAATAATCAATCTCTTGTTTGTTCAGATATTGACAAATTTCAAGACCTTTAATTGTAACGAAAACCCAAAAATGATTCATTTGTCTAATTATGTATCCTTGAAAGTAATTACTCAATCATTATTATTTGACTAGTGAAAATAGAACATTGCAACGTGAACTTACAAACAATGTATCATCTATGTATTTCTAAATAAATAAATAAAACTCTATAAAATTTGAACGAAAATGTTGTGTTATTTCCCATGTATTTGTGCGTGCACTCGTTCGGATTGGTCGGTTCGATGACGTTTACACCGGACACGTGAGATGTCCGTACTCGAACAGTAGAGAGACAGCCACAAACACAAAGTAGAGCAAAAACATGGTGAACCCGAGGCTCTTGTTCATCTTCCAGTTGAAGCAAGCGATGGACATGATAACGAACAGTAGCATGAAGAAGAGAATGGCAATGGAACAGACCATTCCCACACTGTTGACCTCCACTGGCTTGCCGTAGATGATTCCATACAGCAACCAAGGCACTGGTAACCTGAAAAAGACAGACCAATTAACGGTCAAGGTAATAGTACGGTAACCTAAAAAAAAACACAATTCATAATAGTAACAAAGAAATTAATTGGTAATCTGAAAAAGTACTGGTAACCTGCAAAATGCATTTATTTTAGCAACTGAGGTACCAGTAACCTGCAAAAAATATATCAACCAAAACACAGGAAATCTGCAAAAAACTAATCAAAGCAACAACCAAGGTGCTGGAAGCCCTAAAAAACAGATTATGTAGCAGAAAATATATAATCCCTAATACCCCCACCACAGCAACCCCGTAGGCTAAGTGAATTACCATTTGCCTGATTGGGTTTTCACTTAAATACTTCCTGAATATGTTTACTGTCATCTTTATTCCCTAAGGTAATTTGCTTGAGTTTAAAGAGTTTGCTCCCACAGGGAGGATAAAAAAGATTTTAATATAGTACAATGTTAATTGCTTGGTATAAAAAAAAAACATTTGCCAATTTTGATAAGAGTATATCCATAATCAAGCAAACTACAACAGTACCTATACTTATTCCCTATAAGAAAAACATGGGAATTTTAAAATACAATCCATCATTTATATGCAATTTTTACTACCTCCTGCTGATCATCGACGTCATTTTAGAGACCATAGACGCATAGAGGGGATACAATCTCTGCCACACTTGGCTTATAACAAATCTAGTTTATTTAATGTAGACAAGTTATCACTGAACATACTGTATAAGTATCTGGAATTCTAAATAACTTGCAAATAATAGTTCAAAATGTATTTAGCTCACATATAAATTCCAATACTATTAATAACTTTATAAATTTAATTTTACTTGGATGTTACGTAAACAATGTACCGTATAATGCTTCAAGACTTTATATATTCGTATTTTATTTTTTGAAAAATTGTTATTTTTGTATATATTGTGGAAATAAAACTGATTTGATTTGATTGGATTTGACAATCAAGCTTCATAATCTTACGTATTTAATTTCGAAATTATCGTTGATTTGTGTGGTATTTCCAGTTTCGAGAACAGATGTTATTTTTGTTTACTTTATGATTTCCAGCTTCTTGAAAATTGTAGATTCTTAAACCCGATTTACATTTCGCCAAGATTGAGGTATCCCCAGGAGCAGAGTTTGTATTCACATAACTTAAAAAACTCTCTTACCATCCAAGAAGACATATTGCGCTCCTTACTAGTAACTTATTCTATTAGAATTGACAATTCTTGTGTAAAGAACATGTTGTCAGCCGCATTACTGAAAATCAAAGGCCAAAGAAAATTCTTGCTATGTAAAAGGTTACACCAAACATAATCCAAAGCTACACACCCGACTGTGACATCAAAGATATTGCTGCCAACCGAAGACGATACTGCCATGTCGCCAAACCCCTTCCTGGCGACAATCACGCTGGTGATGAGGTCGGGGATGGAAGTACCGGCCGCAAGGAACGTCAGACCCATAACCTGCGAGCAACAAAACATAAATCTGTTACAAACAATAGGCTGTGTTAATATAACACAATTAGCCTTAAGGCCTTCAACCACCATATATAGACCTACCCATATAGACGGTGGCAGTTCCAAGGGGGGGGGGGGCAAATCCACCTATTGGACCCTGGAAATATAATTTTAAACACACTTTTCGTCATAAAAACGTTACGGAGGTTTTTGGTCGTAGTTCATGACGTTAAAAATAACCTTAAAATACATCAAGTTTCTTTAAAAATAGCAAATTGAAGAACACCCTAATACAATACCACCCTCCTGAAGTAGAAAAACTCCCCCCCCCCCCCTTTGACATTCCACCACTGCGATAGAGCATAGGTTTTAATCTATAAGCCTAAAAATCTAAAAATTTATTCAATCTATAAATCTATAAAGTAGAGTGGGCAGAATAATTAGGCGTTAAACCAGTTAAATCGTTTTGTTATTAGCTATTAGACTGACCTCAGGTGGTATACGGATGGTGTCCCCAGCTACATTGGCCCACCACACCATCAAATAGCTGTAGGCAGCGATCCAAGCGATGCTGCCGAGGAATGTGATAGGAAACCATTTCTTGCCTAGAAACATTACAGTACTGAATTAGTTTATTATTTAAATCATACAAACGCAACTACCTTACAAGTACAGCCCCATAAATTTCCAACAGTGCTTTTTTGAGGGGCCACACAGTAGAACGATGTTCTGGGATCTTGCAATATTTTTGATGTTTTAAAATATGCTGGTAAAATTCGGAAAAAATATCGAAACAATTACCGATGATGTGAATTGTTTTTCTGCTGAATGTGTTGTAACAACAAATTGTCTACAGGAGGGAATTGGAGGAATTTTGGAGAATGAAGAAAAAAAGAGAAGCTCTGGTTGGGTACTTCAAAGTCTAGAAATAATTACTGGTATACAACAATCCAGTGTTGCGCATTGCATACAGTAGAGTCTACACAATTGGGAATTTTAATCTGTGATAAAAATACCGAGAATTTGAATAAATAATATATTTAGTTAAAACACAGCTCTTTAACACAACATAGCTCTGAATTTATGTTTTAAAGTGAAGAATTCCTTTCGTAGATTTGTGTTAGGGAAATTGAGCCTTGAGTTTTTTTTTATAGAAATTGGTCCTGTTCATGGTCACAGTGCTACAAGTGTCCCCATGTAAAATCAGCTGATTTCCAAGCTCCCAAGCACATCACATGTGCCTGTAACAGTAACTTTCAAATACCCGCACCGCAGCAAACCGGCAGACTAAGCGCATTCCTATTCGTCTGATTTGAATTTTACTTGTATATTTCCTTAAACATGTCACATTTATTCCCTCGTCTTTAAATAACAATACGATCGAGGGGTACTTAGGGGTTTTCAGTAAATGTTAATAGTACAGTAGAAAATAAATAAATTTGCCAAATTTTACCAAAAGATATCACAAAAAAGCTAACTAAAAAATTTAACTACAGTATTGTCCACAATGATCATGGAAATTTAAAGTTTAGATAATTTTTTTGAAATTTTGTCTGTAACCATTAAGCGTACACATACATAATTACACTTCAATATACTAAGCGATTTCCTTTTAAGCTGTTAAAAATGGTTTAGAAGCTTTGCAAAATCTTTTGTTTTGAGGGTGAGAACTGGAAAATTTCCATTTTAACCCCATAAAAACTCGGTTTTCTTGTTTCGATCATGCTGGTTCGGGAATTCGTTCAAATAAACTTAGGTTTACATATTTGCAACGAATTTAATCAAAATCCGATAATTTTTTATAGAGTTATCACACTAACGGAATTTGTATATATATGAATTTGAATGGATTGTGTTTTTGGCCCCTGGGGACCTCAAAACAAAAAAGTAATTAAGTCCAGGGTCCAGGTCTTTAATAGGTAATAGCACAGACAATGGGATAAACCTTAAAGTATTATATTGTCTGGGGTAATAGCTTATTTCCGTTTATGGGCAATTCGCTAAAACTTTAATATTTACATTCATCCATCAAAGGTGAATAACAGTCATAAGGACGCCATTGACTGAAAGAAGCTTTAGCCATAACTCTTTGAGTATGTGGACAAACCATTCTCATATTGACTTTGGACGCAAAAGGCAAACTCGTATTCGTAAGATGTATGATAATTCTTATTGGTTTGTTGATGAATATACCTCTCTTTTGTTCACGTTAATCTTACGTTATGCTTTGGCTATAATATTAGAGGAAAAACAGTAATTTACAAAAACGAGTAGATTGTTTAATTTTAAAGTTATAATTTTGATGTCAGTAAAATTAACTAAAAGGACATCACTGCCTTTAAGGGTTATACTGGACGAAGAGACTACCTTTATTCAAAAACATGCAAATTTATCTTATAGTGTTCTATACGAACAGAACACTCCTACAGATTATTGTACGAGTAGATCCAACAGCTGCTTTAGTATCCTGAGACTTAAAGGATTTTCCAGAGATGTATCTACAGAGTGTAAGGATGGATCCAATGTTTATTTCCCCTGAGTCTTTACGTGGAGGGTATCTTACTGTAAGACCTTTCATACACATAACTTGCAGAGCAGTTCGTGAACTTTGGCTTTTCCTAATTTATGGATAGCATGAAGTTAAATACTAGGGGTTACTTTTTAATACAACTTTATTAAAAAAATTATTTTAACGATTTTGATAAAAATTTTGTATGTTGTAGTAACGTAGTACTTTAAATTCAGAACAAAATGTTACAAATTCAATTTCCGTAAAAACTACGGTTCAATTTTAAAAATGCAACCCCAATTGCTGAAATAATTAGTTCAAAAGTTATTGCATCTTTTGGCATTTTCCTTATAATAAGTACTCCCACCGCTTACCCATGACAAAGGTTGTTGCCAAGCTAATGGGAGAAAGTATGTCACAGATTGGTGATACCGTTCATTTTATTCAAAAGAAACATGCCAGTGTTGTTGAATGAGCTATTCACAGAATATGAATATGAGTCACGACTAGATACCAACCATAGTAAAAGTTAACCAAATAAAAGTCAGAAAAAATCATGGCATCTGTATTTGTTTAAAAATAGTTCATTCGATTAAATTAATGTTTCTTATGAGTCTTGGAAAATCTTTACACTGTGTTTCCCCTTTAATTGAGTGCTTTAAACAAGCATTTAGAACTTGGATGACTAATTTCTAGCTATTGTAGTTTAATGCACATCTTGAACTGGATACTTATTGATACACATTGATGTTCTTAGTCATAAAAAAAGAAACGACACTAAACAATAGTGATGGCCAATTCAAATAAACAATAGTCAATTCGAAAAAAATTCAAAAATTGCAATTTTCTGATTCATATAATTTAAACACGCTGACTGCCTCAGCTTCGCGAAAGGTGCAATGCATGAACAAAGAGTTCTGAGAATCAGAAATGCACACTATGAGCCCATCAAGAAATACAAGTAATATAATGTAAGCCACAATTCCATAACATTTCTCCACTAGACCTAAAAAAAAATTAATAATTAAAGAGGGAGTTTAAGTATTGTCTATATATTAATAGACAAGCAGGTTTCTTTAAAAAAAACTTCTCAGCTCGTGTGCATCGCAGGGAAAATCTATACATACTGTTAGAAAGATATTTTCCTGTAGATGTGCAGAATCCCTTTATAAATTTAAATAGGCTAAAAAGCACGACAATTTAAAAAAGTTTAATATGGGCCTTATGGGTGCCACGCTGGTGACGAAATAACAACTAAATATAAACAGAAAATCAAAACAAATGGAAGAAATTCCAATCACATGGTTTATTTAAAGCGTGGGGTTCAAATATACAAGTCCATACACTACATATTTTGGTCGAGTTTTCGACCACTGGAAGACTTATAGTGTAGACCTAAAACACAGGAATATTACTAACAAGTAAAGAAGCTCAAAATCAGTACAATTATTATGGATATAAATACACGATGGTTGAATCACAAAAATAAAATGAAATAGTTTCTGTAAAACTCAGTTAAAAAATTATATAAATGCAGAATATTACATTGTTATGGTTTGTGTTTTACCTATACATTAATTGACAATAGTTAAACCACCAGAAAACCGACGTGTGCGTGTGGTAATAATAGCGGTTATCAATGTTAATACTATTCCATCTACAAAAAAAGAACTGTATTTTTTTATATTTCCTACAACCTCACTCCTTACAGAAGGCTATTTGAGAAAAGTGTAAAGCAAAGAACGATAACTCCCACAAGAACATTTAACTTTAATCTCCAATTCGCCTGCTTTACAATTCAAAACTTAGTTTCATACTTTTACAACCAACCTTCCCTGTTGTTTAGACTCTTGCTAGAGCCATAAAATTATTTCATCAATTGAGTAAAACTCTACCAGGATCAAAAATGTAACTAAAAACATTCAGGCAATGTGAGTCTATATTAATTGCTCTCTTACAACCATCGGCAAATTCCCGGGATTCATAATTCATTTAATACATTACTGAGAAATAAACAAAATGGTGAAATGGAAATAAAATGATTAAAGGAATTAGGGCTAGTGATTCCACCTACATACACATTTAATTTTAATATCATCAATAGTCAATACTTGACCTCTTTTGCACTTTAATTTTTATTCCTCCAAGTAGTTTTATACATTTGGTAGTGCACAATACACCAAATGTCAAAATAAAATATGATAAAATAAAATATTTTCCAGACACTCTAGCTTCTACTTTATTTATACCAGACGTCAGACATTCACCTAGCACACAGATCAGTTTCTGAAAATGAATTTAAACTGGTAAAACAAGAGAAGGGGACTAAGAGTGGGTTCATCAGAAGGGCAATTTAACGAGTCTCATTTGTTTCGGATAAACCAAACCTGACTTGAGATTTATGGTTTTAAGCAACTTGAGGAGAGTATTGGTCTCATTAAAATTCAAGCATAACAACCGGTTTTGATCAAGTTTTCGCTGGCTTTATATAAATCTGTAAACTGTTACCTGTACCTGTTACGCCATGTTGGCATCCTTGCATGTGGTAACCGTATGTTTAAATTCATTAAAACTGCCAAGAGGAATCTTGAACATTGAAATAAATTTAAATGGTTGCCAAATAGGTCGAATGGCAGCAAGAGTGCTGACAGAGATTTGTGCAGGGGGCGACCTACAGCCGGGGTTTGCAGGTCCCCGGGTCACACCAGGCCAAAAACTGGTTCAAGAGATCGATTTGCGCCTGAAAAAATTTTAAGGCAAGCTCGGGTTGATTTATTTAGATTAGAAGTTCGACAATGGCTTTATTTTCGATCAGAGCTTTTGCCCTCCCAATTAAAGATAACGTCTGCAATGAAGATTGCGGAAATGAAAATTCATTATCCCCTCACGATTGTGGGAGGCAAGGATGTATTCCCCACGAACGACGAAGATTATAACCATTCCATCGCGTTCATAGGAATGTTCACGATTCTGTTGAGATTGAAAGAGATGATGACAATTTCACTAGGACCACATGGGACACTTAAAATTTCTCCACACCCACAGCAGACGTTCACTAATATTTCGTTGCGATCACGGAAGAAGGTGATTATGACTCCACGACCGCAGAAGATGTTCACGACCCACCGTGTTTGAAGATGAGATTCTCGATTTCACAGGGATTGCAGCTGCTGCTCACTATTTCACTGCGAACACAAGAGCTGTTTGCGAATTTGCCTTGACCTCAGGAGGTAATGTACAACTAGTGTAACTATAAACCTGTAGTAGTTCACAACGATTTATATTTGAGAAATTTAGACATTTTAAAAGAAATTCAATCATTCCCCGACACGGTTTTAGCCTAGTGACCTAAATGTCAACATTTATCCAGACGCAACCTCAACCCGAAAAAAAACTAGTCTGGCCTGCACACTTTCATGTTATTGAGGACTTTTGGAAAGAGAGAACTTTGTGAGTCTCCCTTGAAAATCTTTTGAACATAAGGACTGAAAAACGAGGCAAATGTATTATTTTTTATGTTGCACACACAATCTAGTTTGGTCACTCATATTTCCTCTGAGAATATTCCTACATTATATAGACTAATAGCAAATTTTGTTATCTTTTCCGCTCCAGAGGGTACCATGACCCTGCTTCTCTTCTGGTGGAACCCATTATTGGCAGCAATTATTCATTAAAACCTATAAACAGCACTCAAACTATGTAGCACAGAAAGTTATCAAGGGTAAACTTACCCTTAGGTGTCCTTGTATCTGGCAGCGTGAGCCACAGAGGGAATATAATGGGAGCTACTAGCATGTAGGTGAGTCTTTTACGCCCCGTGTCTGGCCAAGACATGTCCAGTGGCTCATTGCCATCCTCGTCATCATCCTGTAACATACAACAATCACTAGAGTGTCCTGGTGTCTAGCTGTGTGAGCCACAGTGTGTATACAATGGGAGCCACCAGCATGTAGGTGAGTCTTTTACGCCCCGTGTCTGGCCAAGACATGTCCAGTGGCTCATTGCCATCCTCGTCATCATCCTGTAACATACAACAATCACTAGAGTGTCCTGGTGTCTAGCTGTGTGAGCCACAGTGTGTATACAATGGGAGCCACCAGCATGTAGGTGAGTCTTTTACGCCCCGTGTCTGGCCAAGACATGTCCAGTGGCTCATTGCCATCCTCGTCATCATCCTGTAACATACAACAATCACTAGAGTGTCCTGGTGTCTAGCTGTGTGAGCCACAGTGTGTATACAATGGGAGCCACCAGCATGTAGGTGAGTCTTTTACGCCCCGTGTCTGGCCAAGACATGTCCAGTGGCTCATTGCCATCCTCGTCATCATCCTGTAACATACAACAATCACTAGAGTGTCCTGGTGTCTAGCTGTGTGAGCCACAGTGTGTATACAATGGGAGCCACTAGCATGTAGGTGAGTCTTTTACGCCCCGTGTCTGGCCAAGACATGTCCAGTGGCTCATTGCCATCCTCATCATCATCCTGTAACATACAACAATCACTAGAGTGTCCTGGTGTCTAGCTGTGTGAGCCACAGTGTGTATACAATGGGAGCCACCAGCATGTAGGTGAGTCTTTTACGCCCCGTGTCTGGCCAAGACATGTCCAGTGGCTCATTGCCATCCTCGTCATCATCCTGTAACATACAACAATCACTAGAGTGTCCTGGTGTCTAGCTGTGTGAGCCACAGTGTGTATACAATGGGAGCCACCAGCATCACAAGCATCACAGCATGTGAGTCTTTTACGCCCCGATGTATGTGAGTCGAATGTCTCTGTTGGTAACTATTTTTTGAAAATTTGACTTCTAGACTGTGTTTTCTAAAAACAGTACGTCCAGAGTGCACGCCGATTCAGATTCATATTTTCGGCGGCAGGAATGGCACTTGCCATTCAAATGGAAGTGGTCATAGTGGCTGCCGATTTCCAAGCCCGCACGCAGGCACCTTGTTTTTCAGGATTAATTTTGCCAACAGTGTCATTTAGAGGCTTTTGATTGACTATAATGAAGGTTTAGTAAGTGACAAATTATTTTTGTTCATAGAATAAAATTATAAATGCCTCAAATTCAATTTTATATTTTTTATTATGAAATTAAACCGTCATAACCTAACCAAACCAACCAAACGTGCTGACAATGAAAAAATCTAATGAAGGTTTATTAATCGAAAAAATAGTTCTAATCATAAAATAAAATTATAAATGCTTCAAATCCTATTTTATAATTTTTTTATTATAAAATTAAACTATCATAACCTAACCAAACTAACCAGACTTGCTATAATAATGAAAAATCAAATGAAGGTTTAACAGAAAAAAATATTTCTGTTCATAAAATAAAATGATAAATGGGTCAAATTCAATGTCATAATGTTTTAATTATAAAATTAAACCGTCATAACCTAACCAAACCAACCAAACTTGTTGATAATGAAAAAAATCAAATAAAAAAAAAATAGTGCTACGGGTGAGATTCGAACCCGGGTTCTTCGGACCATCAGCCCAGCACTCTATCCACTACAGCACCGAGGCCGTTGGCAACAACCGTATCGTCGCGGTAATGATGTTCCCTTAGCCAATCAGAAGCCTCAAAATAATACTGTAGGCAACACTAATCCTGAAATAAAAATTCAGCTTACCGCACAGAGCTCTCCTTGGCTCTTTGTGCCCTAAATGATGTTTAATTTTTTTTTCCTAATTCGCTAGGCACTAACCTGGGGATAATTTCCACATTACTTCAGGCTAGACCTAGGAGTTGCGGCATTATCACTTAGATAAAATCCATTGGTGATTTGGCGGGATTTGAACCCAGGGCCTCAGAGACAGAAGTCCCGCGCTTTTACCACTAGACCAATTCGATCCTTAATGTTTAAATAGTAGGCCTTATTGATACAACAATATTGTAAAAATGAATGCATTACCAGGGCTATACGAATTTGTTTTATTGTTTGGATTTATTTTCTAAATCGCACCAATAAAACACAACCTATATTTATTATTTATGGTACTTAAAGATTGTTTGTTTAGGTATTGAATGAAACTTGCTAATTTTCTATTAACAAAATACACTGAGTTTATGCAATAAATACAAAACTTATTGTAATCATTAGTTTATGTAACGAAATACATTTAGAACAAATAAAAAGACCAGTAGATGCTCCGATATTAGAAGCATGTCCCAATAAAACAAACTTATCACTAGTTAACTAGTTGCATATTAAAAGGGTTAAGATTTACAGTATTTTAGAGCAAACACCTCGTTATGGATAAAGGAGTTTACCTTGTTCAGATAGGGTGGGTATTAAATCTCAATTAAGGATGATTTGTAGGAGAAGATGGGATCAGAGAATCTGACAAGAGAGACGTGATTGATATGTAGAAAATTACAGTACATCATGTTAGCATATTAGTGGCGCTTTAGCACTTATAGCATATCGGTCACAATGGAAATCTTTAGCTAAAATGTAGGAACGTATAATAATTTAAAACAATCACTTTTGAAACGATATAGGGTTGAATACTGCTGTGCGATGGATGCTAATTCTCCCAAACACACATTTAATGCTTTAATCAATGATGTAGCTGTGTTAACACAAGATTTCACAACATATGTTAGGAAAAGTATATAATGCCTGAAGCGTTTAGTCAAAGTATGAAATAGAATAATAACGATAGGGTTTTATATTTATTTGTATACACTTTGACTAGGCATTGGGTGTAATGCCTAGGCTTTCTACAGGATGCCCATGTATGTGTGTCGTTCAAAAATACCATTTATTTAACATGATTTGGTGTGGGGAGCGAGCAGGCGTAGTGGTTAGAGCGCGGGACTTCAGTCCCTGAGGTCCCGGGTTCGATCCCCGCCAAGTCACCAATGGATTTTATCCAAGTGATAATGCCGCAACCCCTAGGTCTAGCCTAAAGTAATGTGAAAAAGCAATCCCAGGCTCGTGCCTAGCGTCCTAGGACAAAAAATAATAAAAAAACATGATTTGGTGTATGTTCTGGCTAGGTTTGTTTATTTTAGTTAATTTAGATTAGGTTGTATAATGCCAAAAAAGGAATAAAAAAACTAAAAAATCTTTTAGAATAATAAACTGTTGTCTATATGTTGGGTTAGGTTGGTTTGTTTTAGTTTATTTTAGGTTCGATATATAAATGCCAAACAATGATACAAAACTTTGAAAAAAGTCCTACAACAGCGTATATTATACTTTGCCTACATTTTCAACAGACATTCTTAAGAATGACTAGGTTAAAGGTTATAATAAGCTATATTTCAAACTTTTCCAGGTTCATTTCAGGCATTGTTTCGAATGCCTAGCCATTCTATAGAATGCCTGATTATATATTTTTATCTAGAACATATACAACATAGAATATTAACATTTTTTTCATTTTTGACATTTTCATGAATTCAAATTAGTGCAACCCCACGGTGGGACTACCTAAACACACTATAATTTGACATTCCTGGGGATCAAGAGTAGTTTTATGTGCAGCAGAAGTGTTATTGTTTGTTTTAGAGATTAACATGAATGTTACGAGCCATAAACATAATATTTACTCTCCGGTCTCTCTTAATGGCTTTAATTACCGCCACAAATCAAGTCAACTGCAGCCATACTGTTAAACGCATTGTGTGTTTTACTTGTGTTAAAAGCATCGTTTCGTGTAGATTTGGTAGATTCTAATGTTTGTGAGTGTGTAATATTTAAGTGCACCGAGAGGCTCGATGTCCTCTCAGTGTACCGGGTTCCTGTGAGCTAAGTGTCCTTTGGACTACCGGCTAGAAACCTCCTCATCTTGTACGAGACTAGTGAGGTTAGGACATGGGTTGAATCACAAGAAATTTACAATAATTAATAACATTTTCATTTTTTTATCAAATTATTTTAATTGTTTGAAGAAGAAAAAATAAAACATCTATTAATAAAAAAAAAACAAAGACAACGACACAATCAAGATTTCTAATGAAAACTATTCTTGAAGGGTAGTTCCTATAAAAAAATAACTCAATTTGCAACAACTAGGTTAAACCCTAGACTCTAGACTAACCATCACAAGTAGAGTTCTCATCCCATTGTAAATCTTCAAGCATGTTTTTTCGCGTCTAGTTCATGTCTGGTGACACTGATTGCTAGTGTCGATGAAGTTTTGATTATTTTCGGGTTATTTTCACGATTTGTGCTTTTTCTGTTTGGTTATATAACTAGGAGACCAGTTGTTATTGTTTATTATTAGATTGTTTTATTTGGTTAAACAAGGTTTTAAATTCCTAAAATAACAAGAAAAATTTTAATACCCCCGCCGCAGCAAACCTGCCGTCTAAGCGAATTTCCATTTGGCTGAATTTATTTTCAATGGATCTATTTCAATAACATTAGGTTTAACGAGTACCTAGGTTTGCTGCTACAAGGAAACTAATAAAGTGTGTGTTTTAAGTAAAATAATTATTGCTTAGTAGAAAATTAATATATTTGCCAAGTTTGATCAAAAGATATCCATAAACAAGCAAACTACAACATTTTACAATATTCTCCATAAGAATAACATGGGAATTTTAAATTTACAATTTTTTTAGTTTTCTCCGTAACCAATAACCGTACAAAAACACTTTGATATACTGAATTAATTGTTTTTTTAAGCTATTTAAGAAGGTTTAGAAAAAAATTGGGAAATTTTGTGTTTTGAGGTTCAAAAGTGAGAAAAACCAATTTTTACTCCATAAAACCCCCCATAAAACCCTGTTCCCATGGTCCGATCATGCTGGATCGCGAACTTATTCAAGTGTATCCCGCCTTACACCTTCAAACCAAATTTCATCAAAATCGGATAAAAATTACCCAAGTTATCGTGTTCACGGACACACACACACACACACACACACACATATATATATATATATATATATATATATATATATATATATAAATTTGAACGAATGGTGTTTTTGGGCTCTGGGGACATCAAAATGAAAAAGTAAATCGGTCCCGGGCCTAAGTCTTACCACCATGAGACCTACGGTAATAGCTACTTCCCTATAGGGAAATTCGCTAAAAAACAATATACATCATGATACCTGCCCACACCTATATGGATTTTCAGGAATTCATCCAACTTTGACCCAAAAAACAACTTTGAGCCAAATCTAAAAAATCCAAGTTAGTAAATATTTTACGATTTAAAAAAAGTTTAAGTTGTAAAATTATGATATATTTGCTCTAAAACATGGGTGTACAGAAAAATGCTTAATTAAATAAGATATTAACCGTTTTTATTTTTTTACTGACTTAAAAAAGTACACAAAAGCTATCGTACTGTTGTTCATTTAGTACATTATTCAATAGTTTATCACACAACTAACTATAGATTGCATATATCTATGACCTATTTAATATTTTGCTCAGATATAATTGCATATTTTGGAGAGACGAAAATTAACAGCTTGCAGACTTGTCGTCCTAATTTCACCCATCCCATTTATATAGATAATCTCTCTTAATTGAGTTTTTATGTTTAATTCCCCAAAATTTGGCTGTGCCTAACAGCGATTCATATTCGCAATAAAAACTATGTGAAAAATAAACCCTTCATACTAAAAAATATTGTTTGTTAAAAAAAAAATTAGGATAG